TTTGAATATCATCAGCAGCTAGAGATGTCCTGAGAAAAACACTGCAGTGGGCGTGTTATATTAAGAGTTGGCAAGACATTGGGGAGTAAGTTGCTCAACCATGTCCCAACTGCAGATAAGGATTTAAAAAAACAAACTGGTGGTTATTTAAAAGTGCATCACTGTGTCTACATTTACATACTAGCATCTTAACTGTTCAGTAAGTTGGTATTAAGAGTAATAAACGTGGTAATAACATGTACAATCACTGCACATTATTGTATTAATATTGTAGGAATTAGAGTAATGAATTTCACAGCTTTCAACATAATGTATACTGCGGTGCCACAAGGACACAAAGGCAGCTCTGGCACTGTGCAAGGGTAATACTGGTGCCAGACTATGGATAAACGAGCATTTCATATCCAAATTAGGCTTATAAACCAGTTGCAATAAGTGCTTATGGATATTTTTATGGCCTAAAGCATTTTATGTATCTGCATAATCCATCCCCAGCAGTTACAGTTGACCTGGCATTGTAACATCCAGCCTTTTGTCAGATCAAAGCAAATGTTAACAAGCATCTTTTATGTACTCTCCAAATGCTTTTATTGGTGCATTATCTGTAGCTACTCTATTTTACTATGGTTGTTTTATGATTGTTAACCAAGCTAGCCATTATACTGGCTGTCTGTGGCTAATGTGTCGCGAATACAACATTTCAATGTAGATTAACTGTTAATTGCTGTAATTTACTCTTTAATGTAGATTTTTCACTGGTGATACTTGAATGACTTACTTGAATCCCATTACTATGCTATAATTTTTTTTTTTATAAAACCTTCGGTTTAACTGCTGTTTATGATATTTAATCTTTTTTTCTGATTTGTAATCACTGTCGTCACATTTGTTGTGGGGTTTTCATAGTTTCACAGTTGGTTCCAGTGTATACTTCAAAGGAAATCTCCTGTCTTCAATCTTTTATTGGAAACATTTTTAGCTCGCTGCATAGCTGTGTATTAGTGGTGTACCTTGGTTTCGGTGACGCTGTTCGCCATGTTTTAGTGCAGCAGGGAAAACAAAACAATGTAGGAAAAAAACAAACCTTTTTGTCATTTATTTTGAAAATGTAAACATTTAGCAGTAGGTCATTAGTGGTGTTCAATTCTTACTGTAACAGTTAATGCACTAAATAATAGTATAGTGTCAATAAACAAACAACTGGTGCACTTCCAAAACTTTCCAGATAAAACTCACGCTCTTGGATTTCTGGTCCACGATTAGTAGACGTACATAGACAATTATGACAGAATCTGTCACAGGGTGTACCAAACTGAGGCAGTCACATACTGAACCGAACTTGCTGTACCAAACGACTCAGGACGAACACACGTATTGTTACGACCCTACTGTGCATCCACAGTACACACATTGTGAGGGCAGAAGACCATGTTTACAGATTGATCCAAAAATGGAAGACATTGTGTTCAGTTTTAGTTTCTTTCCTGAAGATTGCTAGTTAAACACCCAACTGAAAACCACTTGCCTTCCAAGCGTGTAGGAGAAATTACTGTGGCGACAAACCTTTGCGAAAAAGCTAAAGGCCCTATCTAGAGCCAGTGTACAGAACAGTCTGTTCTGGGCTATTGGTAGACCAGGTAATGAAAACACAACAAAAAATAAGTAAAAAAAAAAAGAAAGAAGACAACACAGAGAAAACATAGGAGATGCAACTGCATCGTAGTAGCAGCAGGATGACTCTTGTGTGAACACACACCCCTCCTACCACCCCCACTTCTTAATCATTAATTTAACCAGGCGTTCTTCACAACAGCCTATTTATAGAAGCCTTCACCTAACATCTCTGCGCTCTGTGCTCATTTCTAAACGGCCGAAGAACAAGGCTGAGACGTCGGCTCTGTCTTTCTACTGTACTGTTCGTCTGTCAGAGGTGTGATAGAGAAAGGCCCTGGTGCATTGTCGGGCTTTCAAAGACGACGGGGGTTGATGGTGGTGGTGTGATATTTTGAGTCTATCTATCTCACTATGCAGTTTTTCCCATTTCTTCCCTCTGTTTAACTCATTGTTTTCTTCACTTTCTTTGACTGCCTTCATACTTTTCTTTTATTCTTTGCTTCATTTCCTTCTTCAAACCACAATCTGTTCTAGTACACTACTCGCACTGTGATGAGCTAATTGCTGTCAGTAGTTCAGAGAGTGATGGGTCCCCAGTTCTGTGATCCATAAATAGACTTTTCAAAACCTTACAGAGAGACACAAGAGCTCCATGGAGAAACGTAGAGATTTGCATTCATTAGAACTCTGCTTTTGATTTCTGTTCTGTTTTTCAGGGGAGGATGTTATGGAAAATAAGAAAGCACAGTGAAGCTGGTTTATCTTGTGTTTATGCACACACAATATGTCTCATACTAGCAGCTATCCTACACATTATAACACAAAGCAACACATTGGAGTAACCATTAAGGATGGGAGTTAATCACGATAATGGTGTGAAGCGTGATGCCCTGCAGCTCCCAAATTTAAGAAGCTCAGGCAGCTGCGATTATGTTTTTGTTGTATTACTACTAATAGCCACTGATAATACATTAAATAACTGGATTTTATTGAGTGCTTCCTCGCAACTAACTTGCCTAGAGATGTTAAAGACCACAGGTTATTGTTCTCTGTTGTTATGTCCCTCTAACAGGAATTATTGGCTCTGAATGCTGCACCACACTCATACTAGTTTATCCAATCAGAATGAGCCGAACAGAGCCCTCATATACTTGCATACTGCAGTGCACAGTTACAGAGGACAAAACATTTGTGAAATAGAACTGTCCTTGGTCCTGAATGTGAAATCATCAGAGCAGATACACTGCTGTACATGGCCGTACATGTTCAAATAAAGCATGTGGATACCTGAATATTCAAACTTTTTTTTGTGATTGTTGAACGGTTCACTCCAAAACCAACAGCCCCAACATCAAGATTGCTTTCCTTAAGAGTTTTAGAACCAGCTGCAGGGATTTGCTCCCATTAACACAAGAGAATGCAGTGGGCATTGCAGTTCATCCCAAAAGTGTTGGATGAGGTTGAGGTCTTGGCTTTGTGCAAGCCCACAAAATTCAACCTGTGTATGCAGACATTATCATTTGAAACAAGAAATGGCCTTTCCCAAACTGTTGCCACACAGTTGGAAGCACACCCTTGTTTGAAATATCACACTAATATTTCCCTTAATTGTAAGTTAACAAAAACTTAAACAACCCCCGGACCAAAAGTACACACATGGTCATCTTTCTTCAGCTAATGATAAGCTGTAAAAGTGCCCAGAGCACTTGCAGAGCTTCAAAAACTACATTGCATCTTTTAACATTTTGAGACCAGTCATAAAACACTTTTATTTCTTCGACTGTGCTTAAACTTTATAGTATAGGACAAATGGGATAATGTAGATGTAGAAACTGCTGAATAATGGATCCACTGTATAAAACCACCCGATAAAACTTTATACATTCAACAATTATTTATTGTTTTCAACAAAGCAGGTCTGTGGACAATATAGATTTTAATGGGAGTTAAATTCTGAAGCACTGGCTCATGTCAATATGAAAGCTCAGGGACCCTGTAAAATGACTTAAATACATTCTATTCCTTTATCTTCAGATGAGTCCTGTTTCTTTAATCTTTGTAAAAGCTCAGGGATGTATATTAAGCTATTGATTATCAGTCATGTGTTTCCTAGTTTGTGCCTTAAAAGAAATTGTTCCCTTTCCCCTGGAACTGGAGCAAAGGCCGGCCTTCACCACAGAGAAGATTAACAAAGTCAGACAAGTTAAAAATCTAATAGAGAGGAACATCCATTACTGAATGGGCCACCAGTCGAGCCAAGAAAAGGCCATTAAGGAAAGCTTGGACTCAGCTCCCTGTAGAAAACATTCACAAGAGGCACTCACTAATGAGTCAACAGAGAGGACTCTTTTCATCACTCAAACTAATTGGCATCTGTGAATCTGTAGCTTAAAGAAGAAAAAGAGGAACCTGCTCAATGCTATTGATTGAATTTTCTGCGAAGGAGTGCGATGGGCTTTCAAAGCTCAAAGGTGCAATAGACATGATGAGGATGCTACCATCTCACACATAAACATATGAAAACATACATAACAGTTTCTGGGGTTTTGTAGGAGACATCGCTACGAGTAGAAACATGGTGATGCCCAAAAAGGAACAATTAAGATAAAAATCTGTATAAACTTTTTGAATTTTGAGGCAGGAGTCAACCCAGTCGCTAACATAGACGGTTAATGAGCTCTGTGCAAAATGACGAGGTACTCTTTAGTCTCAGGGACCTATTACATCCTTGCCCTCATTCTCCAGGCCATTGTCTTGATCTACGAGTCCACAGCAGTTATTATTATCCATATATTGGATCCCTTCACACCTAAGTCCCTGTAATTGTTTGCCTTTATCAGTTCCCCTTAATTGTAACCAAAAGCAGTGGATGGCGAGCGCGTGGGAAATGGAGGCAGACAGAGTCAAAGATAAACACAGTGTTTGCCGTGCTTCACTGACTGCATCAAATGCGAAGGTGCAGGCCGCTCAATAAAACTAATCAAACGTGAATTTTAAGGGCTATTGACCTGGTGGATTCGCAGGGGATCGCAAATTTGTGATCTAAGGAAAAGAGGGGAAAAAGCTGAAGATGGAAGATCAGAAGCCAGCCTGGCAGGGCAAGGACAGTCAGAGGGTAGAGCTAGCTGTTGAACAGAACGACTGTTCGTGCTTTCAAATTTCACCCATTGCTTTATATAATGTCACAATTAAAAGAAAAGGTGGGTAATTTAGGTTAAGCTTGTGAAATAACAGAATTGTTCTGACTTAGTAAATGTGTTCTTGTGTACTCTCACTTCCCTAGTCTGGTATATTTAGCAGTTTTTAGTTAAATTATCTGCATTCGTCTGGAACGAAATAAGTTGTAGTTGTAATTGTTGTTGTTTGTCTTGTTTTTTGTCTTTCAGTTGCAGCGGTTGAAGCGCTCCCTGTCCTTTAAATCAGTCATGCGCAGCAAGAGTGTGGACAACTTTTTCCAGCGCAGTAACGGCGAATCCCGCCCTCCCTCGGCCCTCATCACCACGCCCCCTCCCCCGCCGTCACCTCCCCCCTTCTCTGAATCCCCCCTGGCCTACGAGCGCTCTCCCTCCCATTCCCCGTCTGTCAGTCCAAACCCCTCATTGTCATCACACTCGCCTTCTGTCAGTCCCTCGCTGTCTGTGACTTCCAAAACCCAGCTAAAGTCTCAGGCCCAGCCGGTGCAGCCGGTCAAGACCCACTGTTTCCAAGAGCACGTCTTCCGTAGGCCTACCAGCTGCCAGCAGTGCAAACACATGATCCAAGGTAGGTCAGTTGTGCCAGTTACTTCTAAAACACTGCATTCATGGTGTAGTAGTATGCAGCCATGTTGGAGTGTGTGATCAGAATCAAGTTCACCATACCTTTATGGTTTCTGGTTTTTGTTACTCTCATCACTCCCATGGAGGAAATAAATGTGTTCCGAGAGGTGAACGTCCCCCACTGTGCAGAAATAAGCATGTCCGTGGATACTGCTGAATGCTCAATGTTCTGTACCTGGCTCAGTCAAGGAGCTCCGCAGCTTGTGAACATGTATCGGTTAAAAATGAGCTTGATGATCAGCTTTAAAGAGTCAATCCTCCCACATCACAAACATATTTTCTCATTTACTACCTATTAGCTTTTTTTTTTTTTTTTTCCACTGGGAATTCTGACAATTCCACAAATCTCACTGTGGACTGTTTGCAATGGCTCTGTTTCATCAGCAGGAAATTGTACCAATGAAAATCATTGATGGCAAGCTCTGTTGTCCAATCTTGTTTACATGCCTCCTCTGAGAGGTGTATTGCCTTTTCTTTCAATTGGTATTCTGCCGTTTCTCAGCTGCAGCTTTCACGTAAGCCAAGTCAGGTGGACAGGTCAGCTGTCTTGCCCAGAATACTCTCCTACGTTAAAAATGGGATGGCCAGCAACTAAGCCTTGGCAGCTAACAGCTGAACTTAAGAGTTTATTAATAAGTTTGATAAACCGAAAATGAATCGTCAACTCACAGCTTGGAAATATTTCCAAATCACAGTTTATTATGTCTCTAGTCCAGCTTGCTCCTGTTATGATTTAACTGTCTTTTACCCACTTTTGACGCCAGAGAAATTGCTCCTGATTCATAATCTGCTGTAGAAGGAACCAAGTTTAGGACCTGGTTTCTGTCCTCTGGCTCCTTGCGGATCAGGATTCAGGATTGTGATGGTTGTGTACACATTTGTTAACTGTGAGTGCTGGTACAACTATCTTAAGAGCACAATGATCAGTCACAATTCAAGACCTCATATGCTTTAGATGAGACTTTTTATTTAAATGAGTACAGTCAGAGGAGAGGAACGTTTTAAACTTTCTCAATTTAGGCCATTTCTTAACTAATATAGCACTTTGTGACATTTGCTCAACGGAGGAGCATTAATACATTAAACAAATACATATATTATATATTAACAAATACATTAAACATACTGTAGTTTACCTTGTGACATACAGGCTAGTACACTGAAATATTTAGTATGCAAACTAAAGTCTTTGGGCACCTGGGGTGTGGGTTCCACATGTGAGGCACACATCGGGTGAACCTAATGTTTTGCTAAAATGAAGTTTGAGCAAATTCAAAATTCTGTTACACAGCCTTTCTGGAGAGTTGAGCAAATCCTTTGAATTTGTTTGACACCTACAAGTGCAAACTTTACAATCCAAAACATCTGATACTGCAGTGTGCGGTGGCCTTAACCTGTTGCTGATAACAGAAATATTGACAGCTGTTACTGTTACTCTAACAACATGGCTGTCTGTTAAAGTGAATTGTTTGGTCTATGCAGGGAACTCCAAGCAGGGGCTGCGTTGTAAAGCCTGTAAGATGGCGGCCCACCTCTGGTGCTCGTCCGAGCTCTCCCAGCAGCCCTGTAATGGCAAGGTAAGAACACTTCAGACTGCCTGAACATTACATCTCACTACCACACATTATGCAACTTCATGAAGCCAACAGTTACACCTTAATCCCCACATAAAATGTACAGTGACACAAAGTGTCTCTACAAGTGTCTGGCTGAGATTTGACACCCAGATATGTGGTCATCCAGTGTGAGTTTTATTTTTATGAATGTTTTTATTCTTTATGAAACGTCTTTATGGTGGAACTGGAAGACAATGTCCACATTGTGCATAATAAAGTTTTCCTATTCATATTACTCCTAATAGTATTTTATAACATTATAGCTCTAAGCTAACTTATTTAGTTACATTGTTTAAAAAGTGACAATCTAATTAATAAGATATTATTATGTTTTATTATTGTAGTTTCATTGTGTTTTCTCATGACACCTGTTCTGACTTGGAAGGGAACAATGCCACCCTTGAAGGGACAACTTCGATTAGCATAAAATGATTAATCACTGGTCAGGGTGGCTTTGTATTAATTAATAATATTAAATTCAATGTTCCTGTGTTGCTTTGCTCATTTGCTGCAGTTATCTCCCCGTAGCCCAGCTTACCATGGGCAAAAATGTTTCTTACATAGTAATTACATTTTTATATGCTGTGTAGTTGTTTCGCAAAATTGACTGGAAACGCATTGTCTCTGTAGGCCAAAGACTAACCCAGAATGCTTTGTGTCAGCAGAATTAAACAGCATCTGCATGCTGTAATTGTCTCTCTCAGTCAGTTGGCATAGCCTTTAGTCCTGGTAATATGCTTAGCCTCAAAGCCCCCGTCTTGTTAAAAGAGGATAAAGCCCTTTTCAAACCAGCAGAGACAAAAATGTCGAGGTTATAAATGGTATGTGGATTGACCAGAGCTTTGCAAAGTAGACTAAGACACTGGAAATGTGTGGAAGGGTAGCTGCGGGATAAATTTATCTCCCAACCATAAATGCCATAAGAGGAACAAAAGCAGAGGAGGATGACACTGATAAAGTTTCAGTGGCCAGGTCCCAACATTTCTTCACTCAGCCTTTTTGTCCTTCCTCCCTGCATGTGCTGCTCTTCTCACATAACGCCCTCCTCTCTTCCTCTCTCTTGTCTGGATGCTACATTTCCTTCCTCCCCTCTCAACTCTGTTGGAAAATCAATATCTCCCTGTACCAGCTGGTCTGGCTAATTCAGTGTGAAATTCAGTGTTTTTGAGGCGCACACAATCCCTCGAGGATATGACACGGCAGGCTCTCGCCAAGCCTTCGGCAGTGTCCTTTTCGATCACTGCACACTCATCAAAGCAAGGATTAGGCATTTTACTGAAACTGGATGGCGTTCGAGGCTACTTCTTATACATCTACGTAACTTAAGGTCCGGGGGTTAGCTGACTCAACCAACATGCGTCATCCAAAGCTTTTGTGTACAAATAGATTGCTCTTAAGAGCTGTAATTGCTCAGGTGGAATGTAGACAAGATTTTGGTCAAAAATCGTTCCTATTGATCTGAAAAAAAAGTTAAAACTAACTGGACAAACAGACACAGTGATGAAAGGTAACTAAGTAGACTCACTCAAGTACTGTACTATTACAGTATTTAGTATACAGTATTATTATAGTATTTCTATTTCATGTTACTTCTCCTTCTACTCCTTTATGTTTCAGAGGACGTTATTGAACTTTTTATTACTACTATATTTATGTGTGAGCTACAGCTATTAGTTTTACATACCGTACTGTATAATTAGTTCATAATGACTAAAAAAGTCAATGACCATCATATAAAATTGTTTCTGTAAAATGAGCTTCACTTTCATCAGTTACATTATTTAAATGCCCTTTACCTGGGGCTATCTTGCAATAAATAATAGGTCAACAGAATCATTACACACATTATATTCAAACCGCCATGAAAGCACATAAGGACTACATATCATAGCCCTTAATGGAGCTAGCGAAGAGTGAATAACCAAAACAGCTTCCACACTTTTGTGTACGCAACGTGTCATCAGTCGCAACCTTATATCTGTTACATCTCAAGAAACAATCCACAGGTACAGGTACAAGTACTCGGCAACAATACTGTATGAGGAAAAAATTGTTACCTGTGTGCCTTGCTAAATAATGTGATTAAATTAAAAAAGTAAGGTGGTAAAATTAAATACTTTTTCAGCTGTTTCGCCCAGCCTTAGAGGTATTGTTACTTTAACTTGAGTCAAAGATTAAAGGAGTACTTCTTCCACCACTGGTCATTTGTAACAAACAATACAAACACCAAATTGAGCAGGAACAACTTCCACAAGCAAGTGTTTATGTAAAGTGAAGTGTAATTAAAAATGAAAAAGGAATATCGATGGCTGCAGTTCCTCTGGCTCACCCTCACTCCATTTGGTGAGTGCACCCGTATTTAAGATATCTTCACAATCAAGCAGCTTTAAATTACTTTGGAATCGTGACATTTTGCCAATCGATGTTAATTGAATTTAAAGATGTATTACAGTTTGATTGAAGAAATAAGCCTGCTGAGCACTGCACAAAATAATGGCTTGTGCAGGCAAGCTTTACACACACACACACACACACACACACACACACACACATTACTCACCCAAATTTGAGTCTCCTCTATTATATTCCAGTGGTCAGAGTCCAGTCTTGCTTTCTGTGGCTCTCAACTGAGCAAAGTGTGAAATTTCAGCTTGTTTGCTCACTTAAACTTCAACAAGTCCAAGACTGTCCAGTCATGCTCCACAGTTACTATGACTGATATGTTGATATGTGATTGTACGGGTCGTGTTTTGCTGTTGGTTGTGAAAGGGAAGATTCAAGGTTTCTAATGCTGAGGAAATCATTTATCTACTTCCAGTTCTGAGCACATCAGTACTGGCAGAGTAGATGAGGCCAATTGCCACTCATTAATCAGCGTAATTCAACAGTAAGTGAAGCATATGCCAAGTTTATTTACAGAGAGCTCCTTTGTTTTGTTTGTGTGAAGCACTTTGTGACAAATGGATTCAAACAGGAATAATTAAAACAATAAGAAACGCATCACAAACTCCAAGAAACTTTGCCAGAGCTGCATGTCTCTCTATTACTATTTTAATAATTATTTGATATTATTTAATGTTGCTGCCTTTGTCTGGTTCATTTAATTATACATTAAATATAATACTGTTGGTTGGACAATGATGGATTTAAAGGACCAGTGTGTCGGATTTAGTGGCATCTAGCGGTGTAGTTGCAGAGAAGCGTGAAACAGAAAGTATTGTGGCAAAAATTGTTCCTATCTAGAGCCAGTGTTTGGTTTGTCTATTCTGGGCTACTGTAGAAACCATGGCAGCTCAACATGACAGCCTCCACAGCGTCTGTAGATATAAAAGGTTCATTCTAAGGTCACAAAAACAAAAATTCTTATTTTCTGGTGATTTTACACAAACGAAAACATAGTTATGAATATTAGATTCCATTTCTGTCAATAGATCATCCTAAATGTTACACACTGGTCGATTAATTGTTTAAAGAATTGAAAAAATCCTATATATCATCTTGTCTTTACTGGTAGAATTAAATATTATTATAATCGCATCATTAGATAAAAATAGATACAAACTACTGTGAAATCACAGTGTTTCAGCACAGAGTTTCCTGCTGATATTTCAGTAAGGAGGTGAAGTTTGTGTTCTGTGAACGAAGAGATAAAGAAGAGATTCTTGGCAGATTCTTGGCAAATTCTTGTCTGTCAGTCCTGAGAGCAGCCATCACACTCCCCTCAGAACCTTTTTAAAGCAGTGTTTCACTTCTGGGTGACTTCTGTACCTTTCAGAGCTCCGCACTCACAAGATCTGTCAAAACTGTCACGGCACGTCATTCTGATTCGTTTCTTTTATATAAAGATATTCTTTTGCTTTGACTCTCAGACACTTTCAGACAGAAGCATACAAAATATTGAAAACCCTCAAACCAGAGTGAAATATTTCCTGAAATCATTGACAGTCAATATGTAAATTATTTTAACAGCGAATTCATACTCGATGCATCATGACACAGCGTATGCATGTGGAATATTTATTTAAATAATAAAAACAACAAACTGTGTACACTGAATGTACCAGGACGGCAGAAGAACAACTCAAAGATTAAATCCATTTTTCTGACAGCATGTGGCTTTCAGCATACATCACTTACTTTAAATCCGATGACAAGAGACACAGAGATTGAAGGATGATATACTATCTTTACCGACTGTTTCTATTTTAAGAGCACAGAACAGATTCTTCACAGCCTCCGTCAAAAGAAGGACTTTCTAATTTTAACTCTTAGACTGATGAGTCATGTACTGTGGCTAAACATATTTCTCCGGCTAAATAAAGAAACACAATCAGATATTTTACAGTACCAGATCCGCGCTGGTTCATCTACAGTTCGACAGAGACAAATCTTAGTGGTGCCTCAATGAACATGTGGGTATAAATTAGCTTGAAGGCAGATGAGACAAAAGCCATACTCATACTCCATTAGGCAGTGCTGGGGGACATTTCTTTACAAACTCCATGTTAAAACTAATGGTGAGTATTATTGCCACCATCAGAGGTCAATAATAGAGTTAGTGCAAAAATGTAGTCGTAGATCATTTTAGCTGGTCTAACCTACATGTGTCAAGATGGAAGGGCATGTCAAAGATATGCTGTTTGAATCAATGTGATTTTCTCTGTAGACAAATTCTGACTGAAAAAGATCGCTTTATTTATTTTCTTTTATACTTCTTTAGCAAATTAAAGTATAATTTTTTATTTCTGAGTTAAGGTACAAGCTGACTATAACTGACTGGCCGCCATGTCTTTGCTCCTTGATACAGCTACTGACACGAGTGACGAGTCGGATGTTGAGCAAGCGAAGTCAAAAGTAGATAGCGCCCTCTGTTGTTCATAGAGTGTATCACGATTCATTATTCAACTCACCGATTTGAATCTTCACATATTTGTATCACAATTTAACTGTCTGGCAGTTTCAATGTAAATATCAGGTCATCAGAAGTTGGCTAATACTGTAACTGTCAGGTTCATGTTTTCGGTCAAACTGATATACTGATAATGTTTTTAGATGTCACCCACAAAAGAAACTACTTTCGTATGCAACTTTTCTGCATTAGAGATTTACTTTCAATGCAAAATGTATTAAGCTCCACAAGCTAAGTGTAGCTTAAGACTTATGCTTGTTTCACAACCTGTCTTTTTGTCAGCATCGACTTTTGGTTTAAGTTTAACCTTCACTGTATATAAATCATAATTCTGTGCACTGACATTGTAGCTGAAAAGCTTCAAAATGTTGGCTGGCAAAGTATTAAAGATATGTTCACAAAGAGCAGACCCTCCCCTTTTAGTGTGCAGTGTGGATATGTAGGTGTTATTTGTGTCTTTTATATTACTTATTTGTTTAATATTTAGACAAATACAATTAATACAACCAACATAATCCAGGTGCCTCCACATTCTTCCCAAAAATATCTGCATCAAAGTCATTTATAAGAGATTTCATTTGAGCTGAACTACTGAAAGAACACACACAGCTTCAGATACTCAGCTTTCATCGCACATACTGTTCTGTGCCCACCTTTCCCAGAAAAAACCACACAGGTATTGTCTTACATCAAAATATTACATCTGCCCTTTTTCCGCCTCAAGTAACGTTTCTCCTTCCCTCGTCCTTCCTCTCCTGTCTCCCCGTCTCTCTGCCGGCATCTCAGACGGGAGCTTTCAAGAGAAACTTCAGCTCTCCTCTGCTAACCACTGAAGTGTTGGGTGTGGTCAGAGAGGCTCCTGCTGCCCAGGGTGAGTGATGGAAACGCTGGCTGATTTGTCACGGCACCAAACAACTGTGTGTGTGTGTGTGTGTGTGTGTGTGTGTGTGTGTGTGTGTGTGTGTGTGTGTGTGTGTGTGTGTGTGTGTGTGTGTGTGTGTGTGTGTGTGTGTGTGTGTGTGTGTGTGTGTGTGTGTGTGTGTGTGTGTGTGTGTCAGTATAGTGTCAGCTATAAAACTGGACACGTGTTGCTTTGTTCCATGTTGGCTGTGTAGAGGCAGATAATGGCATTGTTGACCCCGTGTATGAAGCACTGCGCTATGGGACATCGCTGGCTCAGATGAGTCGCTCCAGCTTCAGCAGTATCTCAGAGTCACCGTGTCATGAGGTATAAAAATACACATAAAATACACAGACAACCCCAGTTGTTCATATATATTCATGTTGACATTTATCATACCAAGAATAACAATGACTTTGCTGCCTGCAACTTTTTCTTTATTGCAGGTGGAAAAACTACAAGACAAACTAGAAAACCAGCCAATAGCTGAAGAGGAGCACATCCCAGGCAGTGAGTCCAATCATTTTCTATAGACTTTCTGACTGATAATTTGGAAACTTTCAGGATAAATACTGAAAATCCTCAAAGGAATAGTTTGGGAAATACTCATTTTCTTTACGAGAGGTAGAAGATTGATGCTGCTCTCATCTCTACTTCCCAGCAGCAGCAGGTTAGCTTAGTCTAACACAAAGACTGGGATACACCATAGGATACAGCTAGCCTGGCTCTGTTCAAAGGTTACAGAACCCACCTACCAACACCTCTAAGGTCACTGTAATGAACACATTATATGTCATTTGTGTCATTGGTAACTGACGAACTTTAAAGGTGCCGGTTGTCAGATTTTGTGATCTTTTTTCAGAGCCAGGCTAGCTGTTTCTTCCTGTTTCCAGATACTTTATTATCTAGTGATCCACTCATTTAACTCACTGCAAGAAAAATAAATATCCCAAAATGTTGAACTATTCCTTTTAAAATGTCGCTGTATTTGAGTTCTCATATCCTGTGATGTAGATTTGGCCACTTTTTGACAGAAATAAATAAATGTACACAATAACTAAAACAATGCCATGTTCCTAGGAAAGGAGGGTCATCAATAGAAGTTATTGTCAATGTTTCCTTTCCTTTTTTAACATTTCAGTGCTGAGAGCAAAAAAGCAGACTATAATTTTTTAAGGTGTATGATGTAATAAATGTTGCGATTCGTTCGACAATGTTACATTAATGCGGCCGGGGAACGTGGTGGGCTAGATGTCAGAATGACAGAACTACATTAACACAAGATACATTAGACTGTAGAGGTGCTGTGTGTGTTCTTTCCACAGTACTGTAACCTCTCTGTCTTTAGTCCCAGGAGAAGGGCTCATGTCTGTTTGTACTGCTGCCACTTTACAGTAAATGACCTTGGCTTCTGCCTTCCTTTCTCTTGCACCCACACTCTTTCCCTGTTCCTCCTCACACATATTGCCCCCCCCAACTCGCCTCTCTTTGTGTTTATATGTCTGTCTCTCCAGTGCTCACCCCTCCTGAAAGCGAGAAGGCTGATTCAGAAGACAGGGTCAGCCTGAAGGTGTGTAGTCAGCAATTCCTCTCTTCTTTCAGCTTGTTTTTCTGGGTGAAAATGCACTCTGTCAACCCCCTTCAAACTCTTCATCCTTTTCACTCAGTTTCAGACTTCCACACGAGGAACAAATAGATAACAACCTTTATCTATCTCTTTCTCTTCTCTCTCTCTCTATCTATCTTTTGATACTCCTTCTTTTTGTCAGACTCCAAAGAGAGTAGAAGTTCACTCCGTCCACACCTATGTGGCTCTCTACAAGTTCCTGCCTCAGGAGAAGAACGACTTGGAGCTACAGTCAGTCCAATTTCTTTGTATAATGTACTGTGTGTGTGTGTGTGTGTGTGTGTGTGTGTGTGTGTGTGTGTGTGTGTGTGTGTGTGTGTGTGTGTGTGTGTGTGTGTGTGTGGAGTGTGTGAGTGTGTGTGTGATTAATCAGATGAATGAGGAGTGTACCTGGCCAGAATTTGATAACATTCACACGCCATCTGCCTCCTCAACGGGACGATCACAGGGGGCTGCAGGGTTCAGATTGGGAGGGAGGGGAGCGTGCTGGGAGGCCGGGAAGGACAAACAGCTGCGTTGAGTGTGTGACATAATAAAAAAAAAGAAAAAGAGTCTTTGTATGTTAGTAGGTGCAGGAAACTGCTGAGTGTGGTATGACACCCACCACTAATCTGGTGAATGCGTCTGTGCAAGAAGACAGCACACGAGGCGTTTCTTCACATGGACAGAGCAGTCTGTAATCTTTTAATTTATATGTGGGACCCAAGTGTAAAAAAACAGTTTCCTTTTTAGCATACAGACATCCAAGTCGGCAAGAAAGTGAATAAGCGTAATGCATTTCCATAAAGGTCCAACTATTGTGCTGCACATTTTTAGATGATGTCATTTTTAAATGACGGTAAATGCTTTAAAAATTCCGTACGAGTCTTCCCATCGAGCACTTTGTTTGTCTGTCTGTTTTCCCTGCAGGCCTGGTGACAGAGTTCAAGTCACAGATGACGCCAATGAGGACTGGTGGAAGGTGGGCTATTAAAAATAACTTCCTATTCAAATGCCCTGAAGTCCTGTTTGACCATTCAGAAGCATCACATTTATCTCTTTCTAAGCCAGTGCGTAGATGGAAAAAAGATTATCACCACAGATATCAGGATTGCCTTTGAATAGATAAAACATTAATGCACACAACTGCAGCTAGACAGTCGTAGAATTAGTTGAAGTTCCTCCATTCAAAGCAGAGCTGTTCAGAGACGGTAAGATTAAAGAGCTGGTGGCTGTGCCTGAAGGACAGCAGGTGTGGGTGTTAGCAAAGCTAGTTAGCATGAAGAGGAAAGGAGGAAGAAGACAGATTGCAGTTCCTGTTTAATGAGGCAGCTGAAGATCTTAACCTTCAACTGCCGAAGGACAGGTAGGTCTTTACATAAACGAAACACCACAATAAAATGGCAGCAGAGTAACCGTATTTATATAATTTATATTACTGGTATAAATAGCCACAGAAGTCAACAAGCTATAAGTGGTTCATTCAGTTACCTAGAGATTGTCTTTGCTTCAAGCTGAAAAGACTGATTTCCAGTCAGATTACAGGACAGAACAAAACTGACTGTCCAGTTCATACAGGAATGTTTATAGTGAGGCAACCGAATCTGTACTTTGTAATGTATGTGATTTAAATGTGGTGCAATATTTACATCAAAATACATGTAAGTAGATGTAAAATGGTACAATTATACCAAACACTTAATTATAATAAGAGTAATTTCCACCCATGCAAACCACATTCCACAGACAATTAACCCCCCATGCTGTCATTTTAGTGTAAATATGCCTTAGTGCAAAAATGGCTAAGTGCACCCATGTGCTTTGTACGCCTGTTTGTGTGTGTGCCAGTCTCTGAAGAGAAAAGTGGGGGATTAAAGCTCCACAAATACAGATGCTTTTGGTCTATACTGATGTTGTTAATTAGGGAACAAAAACATCTCTTTAAATTATTTCTGCTAATTGTGATGGTTTATTCAAATTCCAGTGTGTTTATAAATGTGATATAAATATGATGCACATTTAGGCAAGTAAACACAAATGAAAACACAAAGAATCTAATTGTGTATACTCAGCCAAGGACTGTCGAGGACTGTACTGGGAGCTGCTGTTTGCGTTGAAACGTAAGCCAGCAGATGATTGACGTGCTGCACTTCCTTTTTTGTCAACAAGGCGCCAAATTGTGGCTTTTTGTGTAGAGGAGGAATTTAACTAAAATCAAGAGAAGTCAGCATCATAGGTTCTTGTACAACAAGCACTTGTTCTAGTCCTCAAAACAAGACAGGAAATATTTATTTCTATCTGTCAATGACTAACAGACTGTCTGTGTCCACGTGTGTGTCCATGTTTCGGTGTGTTTACCAGGGGAAAAGCAGAGACAAGGTGGGATTGTTCCCGGCCAACTTTGTGCAGCGGGTCCGCCCTGGTGAGCGGGTGTGGAAGGTCACCGCTGGTTTCCACGGCAACCGAGACAAAGGCCAGATGACTGTAAAAGAGGGCCAGGTGAACACGCACATTAAATACACACAATTTTGCTTGCGCGTGCACACACACACACTGAACAAATGTATGTAAATTCATGCACAAAACTGCTGAGATTACAGAGGACAGCATGCTATGGCTTCCAGTGCAGCTCACTTTTTTTCCCCCCTCAGTCCACAAACCTCCCTCATATTAGTGAATGTCATTCGCTCCTCCTCCTGCTCCATAACGCTCTCCTCCCTCCCTCCCTCACCCACTCTCCCTGTGCAGATCTGTGTGGGGAAGAACGAGGAGATTGACGGTTTCCTCCGGCTGAGCAGCGGGAAGAAGAGAGGCTTGGTCCCTGTGACGTGTCTGCTAGAAATATGATGGCGGCGCTCTTCTCTTTGACCCTCAGTTTGACAAAGAAGTTCACTACGATGGAGGAATACTCAGGAGTGTTTACCCAACACCTCACTGACCGCCAACCACCCACCTCCACCCCCTCCCGAAAAGTTGCAGTGATTTAGCAGCTTGACGTGGACGACGACCCACAACTTTGCTTTTAACTGCAGACGATTTTAAGAGGTTAAGACTTAAAAGATGGGACGGGGAGGGGGCTCCTTCAGAGTCCTTTTAGAGCTACTTTTTCCTGTAGCACAACTTTACTTTGTGTGGTTTTATACACACACACAACAGAAATGTAGCATCGTGTTGAAGAGGATAGTGTGCAGGAAGTCTGGCTACCTCACTAGCCATTTCCATTGGCCACCTGTCTGCGAAAAAAAGGGAAAGGACTACCTTACTATGATGTCAAGGCGTGTCCAAGCCTAAGGGACTTCGTGACTGTCTTCATTTCATTGTTTGTGTGTTAGAGAAAAACAAGACATAAGAGATTGTGACAGAGTGTAGCTGTTTATCATAGTGGCTTGTGCAAACACTTTTTGGTTGGTTGTTCAAAACCCTAAAAGAGATTTGGTTTAGTGGATTCAGATGACGGTGACGATCCGGTTTTATATGTGCAAACATGCACCCCACAAAGTGCACACGTCCGCTGTTGTAATATGGATTCATGATGTGCATATGTGTCACAAAATGATTCAGGTATTACATTGTGTGTATGTAAAAACAACAACAACAACAAAAACAAAGTCTCTCTCTGCTACATCTTGGTCAAATGAAAGTCACAATCACACACACACACACACACACACACACACACACACACACACACACACACACACACACACACACACACACACACACACAAACATAGTGAGGTTTCTGTATTTCAGACTGCTCTCCAGTGATTAGATTACTGTACATTTGTGCTCTTCACAGTTCTGATGTGACAAATGCTTTCCATGCACCTTGGGGAGCCTCTTTCTCAGTATGCCCTTCAATCACTCTTTACACACACTAACACAAATATTTTTATAGTCCACTCCGTTCCACTCTAAAATCCACCACTGGAATCTGCTTCCTGTCATTATATTCTCAGCAGTGTTTATCTGTATGTAATGTCCTGTAATATTCGCTGTCACATCTGGTTGTGTACTACGACATGAGGATGGTGCGCTGTCTTTGACTTTCTAATGTGTTTTCTTTTTCTTGCATGAAGGAGTAGAGCAAAGAAATACTGTAATTCAGGATGATGGATAAAAAAACCAAACTCAGTGTTGTTTGTCAAAAACAGTGGTGAAGGCTGTCAAACTTTCGGTCTCTCAGAGGGTCATGTTCCAAACTTAAGCTGTCAGAAATTTGATGACTGGCTAATGTTTCTCCCAGCACACATGATTCATTTTGAGTAACTCTGAGGGACTGTTATTTGAGGCGATACAAGGCAAAATCACCACACCATTTGATTTATTGCTCTGTCATTAAAAACCATAAGGCAGTGACAAACTGCCTTTGTTGTGGCAATAACTGTAAATAAAAATATGACAGTATTTGTAAATATCCTTATAAAGATACTGTATATATTGGCTCTGAATAGCACTCTGACCAAGAGGTTTGCAGCTATCCAGGAGCCAACAAAGGGCATTAACTTCACAGTAATAAATTACAGGAGATTATTGTTTATTGTCCCAATTACCAATGTATGCATCATTTTGCTCAATTAACATCTAGCCCTGTCAGCACAAATCTTTTCAAATACTATGCACAACAGTTCTAGTCACTCACTTTATTTTGTACTCCGCTTATTTCCAGCGTAGCCACAAACACACACGTGTCAGTGTATACCTGTGCTTTTGCAAAGATTTGAATTTGGACTCCAGCTTTGGGAGTACTGCAGCTTTTACAGAGCATCCATCTTGGATCAGTCTGCACCATACTAATCCTAAACATTACCTTCACTGGCTAGAACCATGATTGGCTCAGGATCAGTATTACCCAGGAGAAATACCTTTCTCACCTCAGTGCACACTACCAGGCTAGTTCTTTGCATGGCTAGCTGCCCTTTGATCCTCACATCTCTCAATAAAGTCAGATGAACTGTCCAATTGCGTGGTCTTTTATTTGAGAAATAATTCATACTTTGCTCCTCGGTTGTGTGCTTTGGTTCCTCTGTCAAAAAAGGAAAAGCAGGGTGAAATGGAGATTTGGTTTGCAAAGAACTTGTGGCATTATCAATAAAGGCAGTATATCGCAGCTTTAATTCAGTGCTGCTATTGTAAGACTGCATTAATTAGGGACCAGCCCTGGAGGCCCTATTGTTTTGCTCGATTTCTACCTATTATTATTATTATTTTTAGGCCACTTCGACTGCGTTTTCCCCCTGAATATATACGAAAACCAATTTTATTTGGCAAAGTTGTCAGGCCTGGTGAAAAATTTGATATTCTATGTGTCTTTTCAGGTCGCCACTAGGTGGCGCTACTATTTAGGAAAGTATTTTCACTTTTGGTTACTTAATAACTTCTGCATATTTTGTCGCACATTCAAAAACTTATATCCACGCGTTCAGTGAATGGAGCTGAATCTCTCCATATAGGCCCCGCCCACTTCCGCCTATAATTTTTTCCGCTAGAGTGCGAAAAGTCCTTAAAGTACGTTTTCGTGGTCCTCCTACACGCTTTGTCCAATTCCCACGAAATTTTCACCTAGCACCTGGGGACCGCCCTGGCAAAAAAGTAATTGAACCTTTTGAAATTTCAAAAAATAAGCGCGCTGTAAAATTAAGACTTCCTGTAGATTTTCGTCAAAAAGAAAGAGGACCATTTCTTAACATTGGTATGTTTGATTCACATCAAACTTGGGTCCATAGTTCCTCATGTCCCCTTAGGCACCGTGCACAATTTCAGACCATAACCACTAGGTGGCGCTCTTTAAAAGAAGACGTTTATATCTCTGCAACGGCACGTGTGATTAAAAGAAACTTGGTAGGATGCTTGCCCATGGCTCACTGAGGCTCCCCAAAAAAGGAAAAAAACAGGCCACTGGGTGGCGCTCTGGTGGCAGGATAAATCACTGTGCGGAGACCGTAATAGTTATGAATAGAAATTCACAGGGCACGTGTAGAGTAGTGCCTGAAGCTCACATACCAAAAACGTGTTTGTCGTGTGTGGCGCCCCCTACAGGATAAAAAAACAGCAGCCCCGGCGCCACGTTTCACCGATATGTACGAAACTTGGTAGGCACGCTAACATGCCGGGATGTACAAAAAGCCTCTTGGACCCAACCCCAAACCCCACAGGAAGTCGGCCATTTGATTTAAAGTTCGATTTCGGCGAACTTTCGCGTTGTATTTGAACGAACCCTCCTAGGGAATTTATCGGATATGCTTCAAAATTTGTGAGTACACCAAAAAATGGTCCTGATTAAAAGTTGTGCTATTTGTGCATGTACGTTGAAGGGCGTGTCCGTGGCGTGCCCTCAAAGTTGGCCATAGTGAATTCCGTGCGCATTTTCGGTGAATTTTCGCCTTGTATTTGAACGAACTCCTCCTAGGGAATTTATCGGATCAACTTCAAATTTAATCAGCGCAATCTAAAGACATTCATGATTAAAAGTTGTGCTATTTACGACATTCCGTCAAACGGCGTGTCCGTGGCTTGCCATCAAAGTCAGCCATTTTGCATTCTGTGCTCATTTTCTGTGATTTTTCGCTTTGTATTTGAACGAACTCCTCCTAGGGAATTTATCGGATCTACTTCAGATTTAATCAGCGCAATCTAAAGACATTCATGATTAAAAGTTGTGCTATTTACGACATTCCATCAAACGGCGTGTCCGTGGCTTGGCATCAAACTCAGCCATTTTAAATTCTGTGCTCATTTTCTGTGATTTTTCGCCTTGTATTTGAACGAACTCCTCCTAGGGAATTTATCGGATCTACTTCAAATTTTATCAGCGCAATCTAAAGACATTCATGATTTAAAGTTGTGCTATTTACGACATTCCGTCAAACGGCGTGCCCGTGGCATTGCATTAATTTCGACCAGTCACCATAAACAGATAGTACCAACTTCAGTGTACATGATCCAATTTCAATGAAACTTCACGTGTTTGATAAGTCCCACCCTGAACATGTCTACATGACAATATTCAGACATAGTGATAGCGCCACCTACTGGCAACAGGAAGTAAGCGTTGCGTGGCGATTTGAGCTGCGTTACGTGAAATGACGTTGCCAGTAACGACTTGTCAAATTCAGTGGATTCGCCATGAAATGCCACTCATAACTTCAGTGTGCAATGTCCAATCTCCAGTGAACTTCATATATTCTGTAACAGTCTCGCCCTGAACACGTCCCGTAACTTCAGCGTAAGTGGTCCAATCCAAGACACTTCACGTGTGTACAACAGTCCCGCCCGAACTTGTCTACATGACAATATTAAGACATAGTGATAGCGCCACCTTCCGGCAACAGGTGGTAAGCGCTGCGTGGCGATTTTGAGCTGATTTACGTGACATTTTCATGTTGTGGTCCCCAAGTGTTACGACGCCACGCGACGCGGCCGCAGCACGCCCCGAGTTGGGTGGGGTGCGAGGTCCCGCTCAACGCTGCTTGCAGCTTTAATTTGTATTTATTTTTGCCAAATACAAAAAGAAAAATAATCTTTTTCCTTCTTAAAAGTCACTCCAGTGTTAACTCTAAAGATGAAGAAAAGAGCACTTGCTGCAATGTTCAAATGACAACAACATTTTTAAACTGTGTTTTTTACCTCATAGTCCTGCATTTAAAAGTATCACATCAGTAAAAGTGAACAACTTAGTATACTATTGGTTACTTTATAACAATGCACCATATTTTATAAATCTATGGTGTTTTGTAAAATCTTAATCTGTGACTACAGTGGTGATATAAATGTGTGTGGAGTAAATAGCACAGTATGTCCCTGTAAGTACAGTACTTGAGTAAATGTTGTTAGTGACTTTCCACCACTGTATAAAACATACATGGCTGAGATCACTCTGGCACATACAGGGAGACTGGAGTGCCTCTTTCATCTGTGTTCTTCACTGCTTCAACACTATTATTTTTTTTTTCAAGTTTGACAGTCCCTCATATGGTCAAATTATGTTCTGTCCAGTCAGTCAGACAGTGACCCTGACATAAATTAGTAATGCTGTCACTTCTTCACGAGTTGATGTGATAAGTGGCAGGAAGATTGGGTGACATATTTCACTGTGTTCAAACAGTTTGTTGAAGACATTTTTCCCACCACTTTTTAAAGGGTAATACCCCTCACAGGGCAACTGGCAACGACCAATGCCACAACTAGATTATGTTAATAAAACACTAAGCACATTTTTAGGAGTATACAGCCGTGCTAGCAGTTCTGTGAGGCATGCTCACAATGCTACAATGCTGATGTTTGGCAAGTGTAATGTTTACCATGTTTAGCATCTTAGTTTACCATGCTAAAGTTACCAGTTAGCACAAAACACAAAGCTGGGGCTGAAGGAAATGTCATGCAGGGATTTGGACTCACTTTTGACTTGATGGTGGAGCTAGATGAAAAATCAGGGGTTTGCCAAAATTACAAAATGTTGAACCAGATTTCATGGCAGTCCATTCAGTAGTTGTTGAGATATTTCAGTCTGGAACCAAATTAGTGGGCTGACTGACAGAGACAGACAGACAGACCAACACTGCCATTCACGCAGTAGCAGGACTGAAAACACTCTTAATTTTCATCCACCCATGTTTGTCTAAATAAAGTAATAAAAAGCACAACACTCTGCACTTTAACCTCATATTAAGCGTGTAATTTCACACCTAAATTCATAGCTACGGAATGACTCACAAAATCACTCCCTTCATGGCCACAGAAATACACTGAGATCTTTCATTTGAGTTGACAGTGCAGAGTCTGAGAGGACTTCTTGTTCTTAATGACCATAAATAATATGATTAACTCCCAATAAAATTAATTGGCAACGGAGGAGCTTCTGGCAGGCCATAGACTAAGCTGGCAAAGAGAGTGTTGTGTGTGTGTGTGTGTGTGTGTGTGTGTGTGTGTGTGTGTGTGTGTGTGTCCCTGCTGTGGTGTGAGGAACATTTCTCAAATCCTGACCCAGTTCTGCTATCAAATTGGATCAAATGTGATTTTCGTCTCCGTAGAGAGAGAGAGAGAGAGAGAGAGAGAGAGAGAGAGAGAGAGAGAGAGAGAGAGAGAGAGAGAGAGAGAGAGAGAGAGAAATGTGTGCAACTGGCAGTACATCAAGCTACTTGTACATTTTATAAAATTGCTGACTTTGGAGCTCAAGATGGCATGATGCTCTCCACTTACTGTACCTTTCATGACAATGAGCAGTGGAAGTTGAAATCTGTCTCTGAAATTTTTCTTTCTGCAGCTCAAACGGCAGTGATAAGCAGAGAATGTAAGACTAAGTAATGGTCTTTCCCTTAGCAAATCATTTTCACTCTTCTTTCACACTACATCCATCAACATCACCACAAGACACTCAAGTGTTTAGTTTGGGGCAACAAATCCTGACCGAGACTATCACAGAGACCTTAGCGTGTCGCGCCCGCTCCAGAAAACCAAGTAAAATGGCTCATTAAATGTGTGATTTGTTACACAATCATCCCCCTGTCCTATAATGTTCTCACTTCTTTGCATCTTTTAAAACTGAGCAGCAGTTGCTGGACAGACTCACAGTAGGGGTGATGATCGCTGCACCAGGGCGTTAACAGGCAGCAGGAATAAAGCAAAAAATGCAAATTCTAGAAGAAAATCCGTGCTCAAAATAGCACACTTGATTATATAGGCAGGCAGAAGGAGAGGAAAGCACTGTCAGTGGAAAATAAAGCTTTCTGGTGCTTGGCAGACAAAAAGAAAAAACACCTTATAGACTCCTGCATCAAACACCAGCAAATAAAAATAATCTCCTATCCCTCACATCCTTTTACCGTCTGTTTTATTCAGTGTACGTGAGAGAATATTACCCACCAATCTATACATGGTTTGAAATGTGAAAATCTTGCTTCAGTTTGTGGAATACGCACTGTAATATCATACTTTGTGGATGCTTCCTTCTGTCAGTCAGCTCA